CCTAGGAGGCGTCATCCCCCCCCCCCGCCGGAATATCTCCGTCACCGCCTCATTGCTCTTGTTGCGCAGGATGGAGTTCGAGTGCCCTGGGATTTGTCCGCAGCCGGCGATGGTCCGCTTCGACAGTTCCAAGCAGTGACATGATGGTCCGGAATCTTATTGAAGCTGTCATCGCTTTCACGGAGGACGGCTGCGTGTTAGAGGTCGCAGCTTAGTTTACGTTGCCACTGTCCCGAAATAATTCACCGTGAACGGTGCGGGTTCTCCCCTCCCAGAGGAAATGCCGACGGTGGAAATGCGAAAGGTTTGTTATCACCGTTAAAGATGCCAAAGATAGGATTTAAGCCCAACTTGCAGATGGTGAACGATGGGGGGGGGGGGGGGAGACACGTGTCCGTGAATCGAACGCGGCGCACGAGGCCGTGATGGCGCATTAACCGTCTCAGCGCGAGTACTGACCGGCCACCTGGCAGCGCCCGGAGAAAGGCGCCGTGACACGAGTTGACTGGGACACGCGCGGCGGCGGGTCGGAGCTGGATGTTGGCCTTAGATGTCGCGGCATTGGCAGGCGAGAGCTAGGGCTGGGCATGCAAGCCCAGAAGACGAGAGTTCAGGCTGGGGCGTGCAAGTTCGGAAGACGAGAGCTGAGGCTGGGGCACGCAAGTTTGGAAGACGAGAGATGAGACTGGGGCATGCGAGCTCGGAAGATGGGGGCTGACGGTGGGGCATGCAAGTGTGGAAGAAGAGAGCTGAGGCTGGGGCATGGAAGTTTGGAAGACGAGAGCTGAGCCTGGAGCATGCAAGCTCGGAAGAAGGTGAGGCTGGGGCGTGCAAGCTCGGAAGACGAGAGCTGAGGCTGGGGCATGCGAGCTCGGAAAACAAGAGATGAGGCTGGGTCACGCGAGCTCGGAAGACGAGAGCTGAGGCTGGGTCATGCGAGCTCGGAAGGCGAGAGCTGAGGCTGGGGCATGCGAGCTCGGAAGACGAGAGCTGAGGCCGGGTCATGCGAGCTCGGAAGACGAGAGCTGAGGCTGGGTCATGCGAGCTCGGAAGACGAGAGCTGAGGCTGGGGCATGCGAGGTCGGAAGACGAGATGCTGGGGTATGCAAGCTCGGAAGATGTGAGTTGAGGCTGGGTCACGCGAGTCAGAAGATGAGAGCTGAGGCTGGGGCATGCAAGCTCAGAAGACGGAGAGCTAGGCTGGGGCATGCAAGCTCAGAAGACGAGAGCTGAGGCTGGGTCATGCAAGTTCGGAAGACGAATTCTGTCCGTAACTGAAGCCTTAGGTTCGAAGTTAACATCTATGTCTACTATTGGCTGGCTCCTGACAGAAATAATACAATGAATTCCATTTGCTTGCTGTATATGTAACGAGGAATTTAAACAATGCAGCTTATCATGTTGCAGCCGATCGTGAAAAGACTGGATTGACGAAATGTTCATCGGTACCGAATCCCGCCGTTCGCGCCGTGACCGCTCAAATATGATGCTTTCCAAAGGAAGTTACATTCGGGTCTAGTATGGCCAACTTAAGCTGTGGGGGGCGTCCAGATGAAATGTGCAGCTTTAAGAATAAGTGCAACCCAAGTGCTCACATATTTCAGTTGCCTCAGATCCAGGGTTTGAACGATGTAAAGGTTTGATTTTTCAGGCATGCTTACGTGCATCCGTCTCTAAACGTAAGGTAAGCTTAAAACGCACTGATGTTGACAACAGATGATTTTGCAGACGGTGAGGACAAGGTAGAGCTAAAGTCGGACTCTGCGGACCTGACCATCGACCTTGTGAACATGACGCAGGCCAGCTCAGCTGCCAAGCGAGCGGCCAGGATCCGCTGTGTGAAGAATGCCGGTTCAGGTTTGTACACGCGTCCTGGAGGCGCAGCGGGGTGTAATCAGAACGTTTTCATGACTGTGCTTATGAGGTACTGGGTGGGATAAAGATCGTGGGACTCGTCTGGTTTCACATACGGTCACCTGATAATGATTTTGGCATTACTTGACATTTTCAGACCGCAAAAAATATTGTGATCGATCCACGGGCTTGTTGAAGACGCTGCTCACTCTGGGCGTTTCGGTGCATGGGACTCTTCTACGACGGTTTATG